AGAAAAAATTAGCCGAGCATGGTGGCGCATGCCTGTAGTACCAGCCACTTCTGCTGAGGCAGAAGGATTGCTCGAGCCCAGGAGTTGGAGGTTGCTGTGAGCTAGGCTGACGCCACGGCACTCTAGCCTGGGCAACAGAGTGAGACTCTGTCTCAAAAAACAAAATTAAAAAATAAAAATGATTTAAGAAAAAAATTCAAAAAGAAACAAAGTATAAGAAATCAAATTTGTAAACATTTCAAAAAATTATGTGTCAAAAAACAAAAACAAAAACAAAAAACCCAGAGAAGAGGCGTCGGCATCTTAGAAGATAATTATGGAGACGATAGTGAAGCACTCTTTTAAGAAATGCTACAGCACCCATGCTCTTTTACTTTTCTTTTTTCTTTTTTTCGAGACAGGGTCTCACTCTGTGACCCTCACTGGGGGGTCAGGCCAAACCCCAGGCACCGCGCTGACCCCAGCCTTTTGGGCCAGGATCTCCTGACTCCACTAGGGTTGTTCTCACCACGTGGAAGAATGCAGCAGGCTCCCCTGCCTCCACTGTCTGCGTGAAGCCTTATGACCCTGTGTCACCTACCGTGTCCCCAACCCCGAGCCTCCCATCCTAGTGAGTCCAGGTTTCCTCTTCCTCCCACTGGGCATGAGGAGTTGGTTCCTTAGGGTGGGGGCCCAGGTCCGTGACAGCAGCTGCCCATCAGGTCCCTTTGGTCTTGCCAGCATGGCCCTGGCCCCGTCTCTCTCTGTCTCCTTCCACTGCAGCCTGCCCTGGTGTGATGTCTTGGGGTCAGGGACTAGGGGCAGCATCCCTGTGTCTACTGGGACAGGGGGAGGGAGAGAGACCCTAACCTGGCGGGGCAGCAGAGAGAGAGGTAGGCAGGGACAGTAGGAAGAAGACACCAGGAGAGGATGAGACATTTATTGGTGGATTGATTGAAGTCATCAGAAGTTTCATTCATTAACTTTTAGGCTCTCCTTTCTCTCAGCTTGGGGTGTGCCTTCGGTTTCAGAGAGGGGGCCCCCTCTGCTGCTGTCCCTGACATCTGGTCTTCCATGTGTTGGTTTGACAGCCGAGTTCAAGTCCTGCCTTTGCTGCTGATTCTCTGTGTGGTTTACAGCCTCACTCCCCTCTGCGAACCTCAGTTTCCCCACTCTAGAGTGAGCGGGTAGACCAGGTTGTCTCCAGCTAAGGATGTTCTGTGACTCCTGAACACAGACACAGCTCCGGCTGTCCCCGAGTTATGCCTCATCGGCATAACTGCCGAGCCCTTACTGCCTGCCGCCCGTGCAAGCCCCAAAGGACATTGTCCTCATTAGGAGGACAGAGGAGCGCCTGCCGCTTAGGACTCGGAGACTGAAAAGCAGACGGCCACTCCCGGAGGGCCGAGGGCCATGCTAGACACGCTGGTTCTGTCCGATCCCCCCATGGGGTGCTGAGTCCCCGCGCCCTAGGGAGGCACGGTCACACCCCTACCCAGGAGTGGCCTGTGTGCAGTTACCGGCGTGGGTTGGTGTGGGCCTCTGTGTTAGAGGAACAGAATCAGTAGGTGAGAAGATAAGAGATGTCCCAGCCCAGCAGCCAGGCAGAGGAGGGCGAGCTCCTCCGTCCTCCGCCTTTTGTTCTACCCGGGCCCCCCGTCGGGGGAGGGCCCAGCTGCTTAACTGGATCCACCCTCCCAGACACACCCGGGAATAGCGTGCAGTCTGGCACCCCTGCGGCCCAGTCAGGCTGACATGTAAGACTAGCCATCACGGCCCCACCTCCTGAGCTGGCACAGGTGTCTCTGAAGGCCGCCCCGGCCCCGGCGCTCCCGTGGGTCAGGCCCAGGCCTTCATTGCGGCTGCCTCATAGCCCAGCCTCTTCCTCGCCCTCACAGGGACCCAGAGTGGCTCTCCGCGGCTCAGGCTGCTGAAGGGAACGCCGGGTGATGTGACCAGGAGGGATGGGGAGCGGGGGGGCCACTCACGCCAAGTCGCCAGGGACAGCTCTTCTGAGGAGGGGACCCCTGACGCCGAGACTGCAAGACATCGGTGCACAGGGCATGAGTGAGACCCCGGTTCTAATCCCAGCTCTGTTTCTGACCTTCTTTGTGACCTTGGCTAAGTCACTTCACTCCCTGAGCCTTGGTTTCCCCATCCGTGACATGAGAACCAGCTTCCTTCTTCACAAGTGCTCTGAGGCTCCAGGACAGAAACAGAGAAAGGGAAGGCAATTGTAGTGGGGTGAATAGTGGCCTCAAAAAAAACATAATGAAGCCTGAGTAATATAGCGAGACTCCGTCTAGACAAAAAATTAAAAAATTAACCAGGCATAGTCGTGTGTGCCTGTAGTCCCAGCTACTCGGGAGGCTGAGGCAGGAGGATTGCTTGAGCCCAGGAGTTTGAGGTCGCTGTGAGCTAGGCTGATGCCACAGCACTCTAGCCGGGGCAACAGAGCGAGACCCCATCTCAAAAAGAAGAAGATGATAACGTCCCTGTTCTAACCCTGGAAACTATGACTATGACCTCATTTGGATAGAGTCTTTGTAGATGTTTGTGGGATTTTTTTTTTTGGTGGGTTTTTTTGTTTTTGATAGATGTTATTAAGGATTTGAGATGAGCAAATCATCCCAGAGTACCTGTAAATCCAACGACAAGTGTCCTCAGAAGAGACGGAAGAGAAGACCCACGTAGAAGGCCACGCAAAGATGGAGGCAGGGATTGGGGCAACGCAGCCACAGCCCGGCAGCGCCTGGAGCCACGGGCGCCAGAAGGGGCGGGGAAGGGCCTTCCTCTAGAGGCTGAGGGGAGTGCGGGCCCTCCGACACCTGGACTGGGGGCTTCTGCCCTCCAGAACTGCGAGAGAATAAATGTCTGTGTTGAGACAGCGAGTTGGTGGTCATCTGTTTGGCAGCCACAGGACGCTAGTGCAGGGAGCTTGACCAAGGCCTGGGCCCCTCTGTGTCTGCTCTGTGTTCCGGGAGGAAGCTGCTGGGGTTCGTGCATCCTACCGCGAGGCCTCTGAGGGGCAGGAGGCCGGGGGTCCTGCCCTGGCTCCACCCTCGCGCTTCTGTGACACCTTGCCTGCGTCTGTTGGCCTCTTCTGGCTTCTGTGTCCCCCCACAAGAACATCTGAATCTCCAGGGGCCCAGCTCCGGCCTCTGGGAGCCACTCGGTCGGCACCCAGCCTGGGGGTGGGCTCGGTGGGGACCCAGGCTGACCACTCCCGTGACTCTGTCTTGTTCAGTCTTGGTCAGCCAGTGCTGGGCTGAGCTGGGGTGGACACGGGAACCCAGAGAGAGCCAGAGGGGCAGCTGCCCAGTGTGGGGGCAGCTGGGGCTATAGGCCACGACCAGGTGATGGGCACCAGGTTGGTAGCTTTTTCTAGGCACAAGGGCCTGGCCAGCAGGGCTCCGTTCCAGCCTTGGGCCCTCTGTCTCCACTGCCATGAACTTCTCTTCAGCCTTCATGTCTACTCTGACGAAGGGCTGGAGCAGCAGAGCGACCGCTAACTGGGAATGGCCCCCGCTGCAGGGCGGGAAGGGGCGAGCTGGAGGAAGAGAAAGCAGCAGAGACATGCCAGGCTCAGCTGACGGGCCCAGGACTTGGGCTGCAGCTGTGAGGCCCACCCAGGGGCCCAGGAGCATGCTTTGGACCTGAGGTCACACGGGTATTGGGCTCTGGCCAACTTGGCCCCATACACAGTTTCTATTCCTGGGTCTTGGGCTCTGACACCAAATATGGCGCGGCCCAAGTCTGGCGCCCCCACCTGTGGTCAGGCGTGGTTTAGGTGCCATGTCCTGCCCCGCGCTGGGCCCAGACCACACCCACCCCACTCCACAGCTGTCGGCCCACTCCAGCGCTACAGGCCGCAAAGCAGCCAGGGGCTTCCCCCATAGCAGGCCAGCTGCCCGTCCACCCATCGGTGTGGTCCACATTGGGTTAAAGATAACTCAGGACCAAAATAGCCCCTGTCCCTGCAGGAGAAAGACGGGGGTGGGGACACAGAATCTCGCTTTACACCGCAGCTCTGTGCTCCGGACCTTGCTGGAGATCCTGGGCAGCCCCCAGCTGTGATCCCAGCTTCTCTCTGGCTCAGTGATCTGCTCGTTCATCGACTCCCCCCACGTGTCACTTACTGACGCGCTCACTCCTGAGCTCGTTCCCTGCCTCACTGACCATTCCCTGGTTCACTCGGTCACTACATGCCCACCCCGTACTGAGAGCCGGGCGCCGTCCTGCGGTTCTAGATGCTGAACCACACACACAGCTCACGAAGCATACCCGTCCTCACGGGGCTTTCCAAGTAGATAACCAAAACAGGAAGTAAAATGTGCCATTAGATTTGGTGCTGGGGAGAGGACACTGGAGAGGGGCTGAAATTCTTCGGGGACCGGGGAGGGCCCCGGTGGGAGGGCGATTTTGAGTGCAGAGCTGAGTGAGGGAGGCCCCGTGAGCACCTGTGGGAAGGACGTGCCCAGGGGCAGCGTGAGGGCCAAGAACGAGCCAGGAGGCAGGTGTGGCCGGGACAGAGGCAGCGGGGAGAGGCGTGGGACACGGGGTCAGGCTGCGCTGGACCCTCAGCCTGGGACCTGGGCCCCCCATCACTCAGTGTGTGGCCGACTTGTATTTTCAAAGTGTCGTGTGAGCTGGCTGCGAGAGTGTTGCTGTGTTCCCGCCGGGTGTCCTCCGCTGGGCACGGGACAGTGGTGCAGACGCACATGTGACACTTGCCCCAAGGTGCTCCAGGAGGTCCAGAGCCACCACCGCCTCCTCCATCTGACTCTCCCCGCTCACCAAGTGTCACTCGTCCTTGTCTGTTTCCAGATGGCCCCACCAGCCTGAGCGCCTCCCCGGCCGTGCAGGGCCCACCCGTTCCTAAGTGTTTCCCGAGGGGCTGAGCCAGTGAATGAGCCAGTGAACGAGTGAGCCCCAGGCCCAGCCAGCCTGTGTGGCTTCGAGGACGAGGCCCCTGAGAGCCAGCGCCCTGCCTCACTCCTTCTTCTCGCTGTCTTCTGCAGATGGACCTGCCGGCGCCGCCAGCGCGGGCACGGGCTGTCTTCACGTTGGCAGAGGGGTCCGGCTGCTGAGCCGACGCGTGTCTCCAGGAGGCCTGCGGGCCGCCCGAGTCCCTGCCTGTCTGCGATGGGCCACCCAGCCGGTCAGTTCCAGTCTTCAGTGTTCCTGCCCTCGCCCCGAGGAGGGGCCCAGCCCCCTGCTCCAGCCCCAGGCTCGGGCTGTGGATGGGCCTACGAGGGGTTGCCCCCCTGAGCACCGGGCTGCACCCGGTCCTTCAACTTCTCTCTGCCCAAGTTCCCAGGCCCCTAGGAAAGGGTGCAGCTGCCCCTGGGATGGCTGAGGGCGGAGCGGGTGTGACAGGTAGAAGGCACTGAGTGGGTGGTGGCAGGATCACTACTAATAGTTCAGGTCCACGTGCCCTGAGGCCTCCCGCACACCAGGTGCATCTGCGGTGCCCTTACTCCAGGCAGGGTGGTGCGGTGGTGACAGCAGAAGCCCGAGGCGGGTGGCCTGAGTTCTAGCCCCTGCCTTGACACTTGCCGTGGGAGTCTGCATGAAGCACCGAACTTCTCTGTGCCTCCGTTTCCTTGTCGGTAAGCTGGGTGTGGTGATTGCCACCCTGCAGCAGGTGGAAGGGGGTCAACAAGTTCCTGTGTGTGAAATTCTTAAAGTCACCTGGCACGTACAGGATGGGCAGCCAGTGCTTATTGCAAGTGTGACACTGTAGCCCCTGAGTGGGCTCCAGTGTTCCCATCCTGTAGGTGGGAAGACTGAGGTGCAGAGAGCTCCATGGCCTGCCCCAGGTCACCAGCCCCACACCCAGGAGCACGGCCCATGCCTCTCCTGTTCCGGGCACCCGGGAATGTTTGTGGTTACTGGCCAAGCAGACATCACCAGGCGAGAGTGAGGGTCCGAGGGCAATAGTACTGGTCAAGGTCATGGACTGCAGCGTAACCTCCCTGTCCCTTTTCCACTCCTAGCGAGCCAGCGCCCAGGCCTGCCGGAGCTCCGGGCTTCAAGCCGACAGTCATCAAGGCTGCTTAGCCGTCCACCCTCGGATCAACCCAGGCCTGGTTCGTGGAGCTGAGGGACGCATGAGCTGGGCCTCAAATCCCAGGCGGCCAGCCCCAACAGGCGGAGGGGGCCAGGCCTCGCCAGGGAGAGCGCCCTGTGCCCCACGTAGCCAAGCCATCGCTTCTGACAGTCCTTTGGGAGCTCCCAGGTGTGCTTCAGAGGGCAACGTGTCCCTGCTCAGACCTCAGTCCATGGCCACTGCGCTCCTGTTTTGCAGGTGAGCAGCTGGCAGGCTGGGACGCAAGCCCAGGCCCGTCTGGCCCTGGACCCGTGGCTCTGGAAGCTGGTGTTGGCTCCGGCTGGTTTCGTGGGAGACATTTTTCTTGTGGGATGGGAATGCCACCGGCCTGCCTGAAAGGTGACGCTCCTCTCCTGCAGACCAGCCAGTTCCCGCTGGAGGCTCCTGGTGAGATCTGGGAGACCATGTTCAAGGCCCCCGACCTCCTGCTGCGGCTGCTGCGGGGCGCCCCGAGGCAGCGGGTCTGCACCCTGTTCATCATCGGCTTCAAGTTCACGTTTTTTGTCTCCATCATGATCTACTGGCACACTGTGGGAGAGCCCAAGGACCAGGGGCAACTCTATAACCTGCCTGCAGACATCCCCTGCCCCCCGTTGGCACCCCCCACCCCGCCCTCCAGCACCCCCGCTGCAGGCCACATCTTCTTCCTAGAGACTTCGGACCGGACCAACCCCAACTTCCTGTTCATGTGCTCGGTGGAGTCGGCCGCCAGGACTCACCCCGAGTCCCGGGTGACGGTCCTCATGAAGGGGCTGCCTGGCGGCAACGCCTCCCTGCCCCGGCACCTGGGCCTCTCGCTTCTGGGCTGCTTCCCCAACGTGCAGATGCTCCCGCTGGACCTGGAGGAGCTGTTCCGGGACACGCCGCTGGCGGCCTGGTACGCGGCCGCGCGGGGGCGCTGGGAGCCCTACCTGCTGCCGGTGCTGTCCGACGCCTGCAGGATCGCGCTCATGTGGAAGTTCGGGGGCATCTACCTGGACACGGACTTCATCGTCCTCAAGAGCCTGCGGAACCTGACCAACGTGCTGGGCACGCAGTCGCGCTACGTCCTCAACGGCGCCTTCCTGGCCTTCGAGCGCCGGCACGCGTTCATGGCGCTGTGCATGCGTGACTTCGTGGCCCACTACAACGGCTGGATCTGGGGCCACCAGGGCCCGCAGCTGCTCACGCGGGTCTTCAAGAAGTGGTGCTCCATCCGCAGCCTGAGCGAGAGCCGCTCCTGCCGCGGCGTCACCACCCTCCCCCCCGAGGCCTTCTACCCCGTCCCCTGGCAGAGCTGGAAGAAGTACTTTGAGGACACCAGCCCCGAGGAGCTGGCCCGGCTGCTCAACGCCACCTACGCCGTGCACGTGTGGAACAAGAAGAGCCAGGGCACGCACTTCGAGGCCACGTCCGGGGTGTTGCTGGCCCAGCTCCACGCCCGCTACTGCCCCACCACGCACGAGGCCATGAAGATGTACCTGTGAAGGGCTCACCAGGCCACCGCCCCATCCACTCCGGATGGAGTAGAGTGCCCGGCCTCCCTTCCCTGGGGGAAGGTGGCAGGGCCTGTGACAAGGAGGTGTGAGCTGGGGCCACTGGCCGGGCCAGGCTGTTGAGGAGTCGTTGCTGGAGCAACACAGCAGGCCCTGGGGACAGCCCCTTCGAGCCTGGGAGGCTGTGAACACCCATGGGCCAGTGCCCTGTCTCAGGCCAGTGCCAACAAGCAGCACCAGCGCCAGCTGGAGTGAGGCCAGTAAGGGTCCCAGGCCTTCTGGATGACAGGCAAGAAGAGCGGACCCCAGAGCACCTCCCCTGTGGTGCAGGGCAGCCGGGTGAAGCCAGGCAGTGGGGCCCAGGTGCCGTTGAGGGGAGCTTTGAGCAGCCGGTGCAAAGGGGACAGGAAGGAGGGGAGAGGTCCCAGGCGGAGGGGAGGGGGCAGCTGGTGGGAGGGCGGCCCAAACCCAGCCCCAGAGCTGAGAGGGGTCAGGAGGGTTTCAGAGGGGATGGGCAGGGGCTGGCTGGGGGCCCTTTGCAGGGCGGCCCCTCCTGCCCACCCGTCCTTTCTGCTTTCCAGAGATGCTGCGACAGGGACACGTGTCAGCTGCCCACCCCCATGGGCGTGGGGCGTGGGGGTTCTGTTGGCTCAGAAGAAACATTTTAAAGAGCCTTCCCCATTATAAACATGGGAGAGTAATAAATGTAAAAGTGAGCCACTGACACTTAGTGCTTCGTGGTTGGTGACGCACGTTCACGCACGCAGCCCTCGTCAGCTCCGCTCTGACGCGGAAGCAGCTGGGACGGGCTGGTGGGGACTTCGCCAAGGTCATGCAGCCTGCCTGCAATGGAAGGACCCCCACCTGCCCTGGGCACGGGACAGGCTGCCACTGCAGTGGGGGCGGGAGGAGCTGCTTTTCCCATCTCACTTTCCATGGCTCACAAGCACCTAGGTTGGGTCGTCCCAACCTCTCTCACCCCCACCCCATAATAAGCCTGAATGTGTTAACCTAAACGGGGCCAAATGAGGACACTGAGGAGCCCACCACCAGGGCAGGGGCGAGCTGCCGCCAATCCTCGGAGGGGTCCCCATGAGGGAGGGTGAGGCCCTCCAGCCTCACCCAGGATGCCTGGCCAAGGTCCCGGGAGAGGCCCAGCGGTTGGCACTGTGGAGCTGCCAGCAGGCTGGAGAAGCCCTTCCCGGCAGGAGTGGGGGTGCTGCCAGAGACACTGGGGCTCGGCGGGCTGCTGTTTGGCGCCCTCTGAATTCTGCCCGCGGAGCCCTCTCGGGCAGCCTGGTGAGGAGGTGAGCTCCCTGACTCTACAGGTATTCAAGAGCAGTGATGTTTTTGTGAAAACAGTGGATTGTAAGCCAGTTATTTCTCCAACCACAACATCATTTCACCTCTTTAAAAAATTTTTTTTAGAATGAGCAGCCCTTCCTTCGCGGTTTACTTCCAAAAAAAAAATAGAATGAGCAGGCCTTACTTTAATAATAAATATAATATTAATATCTGTAACTATATGTACACAAGCGAGATGCCCTCGTAGAGCCGAACATTGTTTAATTATGCGCACGCTCTGACATCGTGCAGTGAGTGCCTACTGTGTGCCGGCTGCAGAGATGAAACACGGACTTCCGCTACCGCCCCCTTCACCCTAAGCTCTTCTATGGCGCCGTGTTGCCTACGGAGCAAAGCCTGGGCCCAGCGTTCAAGGCCCTTTATGTTTTTGCCGAGCTGCCTGCACTGCCCTTCACACCCGTCTTCAACATCTTCCCCCTGTTCCTTCCCACGAGGCCGATGCTGGCTCCAGGAAGCCGTCCCTGACTGCCCCTCCAGCCCCATGGCTCCCAGGCATCCATGATCCTTGGACTCTCTGGGCCTGTCCCCTCAAAGGCCAAGTCCCTCTGAGGGTCATTCCTGGGGTTGGGTTCAGGCTCCCACAGGGGCATCTGGGTGGCTCTGTGGGGGCCTCAAGAAGTTCCTTTTGGTCCACGCAGAGCTGAGGGCCCAAGAGGGGCCAGCTCTGGTAAAGCAACATAAAAGGATGTCTTTGCAAAGAGCATTAAGGTACTTTGAGGGGTACGTGCAGTTTCAATGTAGAATCAGGCCAGGCGAGGTGGCTCACGCCTGTAATCCTAGCTCTCTGGGAGGCCGAGGCAGGCGGATTGCTCAAGGTCAGGAGTTCAAAACCAGCCTGAGCAGGAGCGAGACCCCGTCTCTACTATAAATAGAAAGAAATTCATTGGCCAACTGATATATATATATAAAAAATTAGCCGGGCATGGTGGCACATGTCTGTAGTCCCAGCTACTCAGGAGGCTGAGGCAGGAGGATTGCTTGAGCCCAGGAGTTTGAGGTTGCTGTGAGCTAGGCTGACGCCACGGCACTCACTCTAGCCTGGACAACAAAGCGAGACTCTGTCTCAAAAAAAAAAAAAAAATGTAGAATCAAACTTGTGTCTCTACAAAAACACTCCACTGTTCACGGCGTCATGAAACATTTCATAAGGTGTAATCGTGCTGGTCTTGGAACTGAGAAGGACTCGTGCCAGGACGACTTCCACTGGGGCGGAACTGCAGCTCTGCCCGGTTCTGGCTGCGTGGCCTTAGGCAAGTCCCCTGGTCTCTCTGAGCCTCAGTTTCCTCATCTGTAGGGTGCAGATGGTGTCCTCTTCTCAGGGACGGGATAAATGAAATCGTGTGCGTAGAGGTCTGCCGCTTGGCTTGGGGCGGAGCAGCAGGAAGTGCCAGGAGGACGCTGTTGACTTGATACCAGTTGCCAGAAGAACCCCAATTTTGTTTAGCTCTCAGGTGGCCTTGGGCTGTAGAGGAAGTGGGGACCTCCCCAGGCCCTGGGGGCGAATCTCAATTGGTCTAAGCCAGTGCAGTCCGCTCCCTTTGCTGGCCAATGAGAGTCAGGGGAAGGCAGCTGGAAAGGGGGTTTCTGAGCATTTTCAGACACGGGAGGAATGTCTCTTCTCTGCCTTTTGCATAAGAATGTGATGCTCAGAGCAATGGTAGTATCTTTTTTTTTTCTTTTGAGACAGAGTCTCACTCTGCTGCCTGGGCTAGAGTGCCATGGCATCAGCCTAGCTCACAGCAACCTCAAACTCCTGGGCTCAAGCGATCCTTCTGCCTCAGCCTCCCGAGTAGCTGGGACTACAGGCATGCGCCACCGTGCCTGGCTAATTTTTTCTATATATTTTAGTTGGTCAATTAATTTCTTTCTATTTTTAGTGGAGACGGGGTCTTGCTCTTGCTCAAGCTGGTTTTGAACTCCTGACCTTGAGTGATCCTCCCGCCTCAGCCTCCCAGAGTGCTAGGATTACAGGCCTGAGCCACCGCGCCCGGCCAATGGTAGTATCTTGAGGTCATGAGGGGACAACCCTGAGACCAAAAGTCGATGTGCTGGATCCTTGAAGACAAGAAAATGCCAGCCAGCTGCTGAATTGACCAACCCTGGTGGCACCAGACTCCTTGCAGTGTGTGGCCGCTGCCATTGACTGTCTCTAATGTCCAGTCTTCTGTGATCCTCTTAGAACATACTGAGTTCTAGCGGGACACATGGCCGCTCGACTAAGCCCAGACCAGGAGGATGTGAGCAGAGCGATGTGTACAACTTCTGGCTTATCTCTGGAAAGGCATGTGCCTTGGGTGCACTCTGCCCTTCCTTCTGGCTGGCTGGAGCATTACGGCAACTGGAGCACTTTTTAAACCACACTTTGTGGCTGGCAGGGTGGCCCCTCTGGCCCTGGGACACTGACCTTGGGACTATGATGTGAGACAGAAACCATCTTCTACCTATTTCAGCTGCTCTATTCTGGGGTCTTTTTCTGGGGGGCGGGGCAGAGTCTCACTCTGTTGCCTGGGCTAGAGTGCCATGGCATCGGCCTAGCTCACAGCAACCTCAAACTCCTGGGCTCAAGCAATCCTGCTGCCTCAGTCTCCCAAGTAGCTGGGACTATAGGCATGTGCCACCATGCCTCGCTAATTTTTTCTCTATATTTTTAGTTAGCCAATTAATTTCTCTCTATTTTTAGTAGAGATGGGGTCTTGCTCTTGCTCAGGCTGGTTTCGAACTCCTGACCTTGAGCGATCTTCCTGCCTCAGCCTCCCAGAGTGCTAGGATTACAGGCGTGAGCCACAGCGCATGGCCTATTCTGGGGTCTTTTTGTTACAATAGCTTACAGGGTTCCTTAACCAACATGTCATGTGGGAGAGTGAGTCCCCTCATAGTTTCAGCCACTCTTAGTCGTTCCTGGCAGCCGGCGGCCTCCTCTCTGATCTTGTTTCTCTCCTTGGAAGCTGGTGGGAGCCGGGGCTGGGTTCCAACGCCAGGTGGTGGACTACGGTTGTGGGGCCCATGTTCCCCTCTGAGCTCACGTCTCGCCCGCCACCTTGGCTCCCTCCAGCTGTTGTGCCCACCCCAGAAGTGGCTGTGCCACCCGGCCCGCCCCCACAGTAGCACAGCCCACGCCTGCGTTCAGGCCTGTGGTCCGGTGCCCAAGCCTGGGCCCGTCCAGACCCCAACCTCAGCTGAATTCCCAGCATGCCTCGCACCGGGGCGGTCCAAGGTAGGACAGGCAGAGACGTAGGAACAAGCAAACTGCAAAGCCAGACTTCCAGGAACAAAATCCAAAATTGCTCCCTTACCCTCAGTCTCAGGCCCACTGACGGAGGACGTCACAATTTAATATTTAAACAAGAAGTTGAATATTGATACCCCAGCAAGGTGGAATTAATAGTCCCCTACCCCAGAGGGGCTGGGAAGGCGACTTCCCCGCTTGCCTGTGCCTGGCCAGCCCAGAGGGTTCACTAAGTAACGGACAGCCCCTGCCAGGCCACCCACACCCGCTGCCCCCAGGAAAGGATGGATCCTCCTCTTCTTCCTCGGTCCTGGCCAAAAACATCTGTAAACGCACCAGCCAGAAATGAGCCGCCACCTTCTGGGGATCCGATTACATGTCCCCAGGGCAGGTTTCCACCTGCAGCCCCTTCCTTCTGCTTTACAGAAACCGGCTGCCCAACAAATGTTCCAGCTCCTACTGCAAAGGGGGGGCAGCCTGAGACAGCCAGGGCCTGGCGACTTTGAGCCTTGGATGGGACAGGAGGAAGTGGAGGGTCTCTCTGGAATCAGGCCCAGGCAGAGGGCAGGGGTGGGACTCCTCAGGCCACCGTGGGAGCCCCAGGAGGAGGACATGGGGCTCTGGTCTGTGGCTATTGCACAGACAGGTGATGAGAAGTTATAGCCCCCGCCCTAGGCTAGCAATGGACCCTGCCCGGGCTCCCCAGCCAGCCCTGAGTGTAGGACGGCCAAGGTATGGTTCAAATCCCAGCTCTGCCACCTACTTGATGAGCCTCAGTTTCCCCACATGGAAAGTGGGGGTGTGATAATATGTGGAAGAGGAAGAATCCAGCCAGCCCCTCTGCCTCTCCATTGCCCGGTTCTCAGAGACACGGATGCCAGGCACACGGTGGTTCTCCGGTTCTGCCCCAGGCCCCTGCCTGAGATGATGTGGGGAGGAGGTGGCAGAGGAGCAGGAGACAGCAGCATCTGAGAGGTGAGCCAGGTGGCTTGGGGGAGTCCTTCCGAGCTCACGGACACTGCTGCCAGGGAGCCCCAGGAGAGAGAGTCAAAAGCTGCAACCCTGGGAGCCCCCAGATCAGCAGGGCCTGGCATGCTCCCCCTGGACAAAGGCAGCAAGCAGCCACCCCCACTGC